ACGAAAATTACACTGCAAAAATTTCTGATTTTGGAGCTTCAAGATTAATCTCCTTGGATCAAACTGAAGTGACAACGTTAGTCCAAGGGACACTCGGATATCTTGATCCCGAGTACTTCCACACTAATCAACTGACTGAAAAAAGTGACGTTTACAGCTTCGGGGTAGTTCTTACAGAACTTTTGACGGGTAAAAAACCCCTTGAAATGCAGAGACGCCAAGAAGAAAAAATTCTTGCTACATATTTCATCATGTCCATGAAAGAAAATCGTTTGTTTTCAATTCTTGAGCCTCGGGTATTGAGGGAAGGAACTTTAGAACAAATCCAATCCATTGCTGAACTTGTCAAGAGATGTTTGTACTTGTATGGTGAAGACAGACCTACAATGAAAGAAGTGGCAATGGAACTCGAAAGTTTAAGGAAATTCAATAAACATCCATTGGCTAATCAGTCTGTGCATGAAGAAAATGTTGGGTTAATGAATAATCAAAGTAAAGCATCAGATCTTTATACCTCTCCAAGCACCTCAAATGACTTGTATTCTATTCAAATGGGGCCTTATACAAGCACTGAGGATTTCTCTGGACAATACAGCTCCGACAGTACTCGTTTGATGTTTCCTGTAAACAGCCATCGGTGATAGTTCATAGACGAATCATTCTTAGTATACATTCAACGATGGCTTAGACCAGGGTCAAATCGTGTAGCGTTCTTCTTTTAATACTCTACAATCCACCTTACGAGTCATGATAACATTTCTTTGTTTGTTTATGTTTCTTATTCATCTTCAATTTGGATTTCTTCTTATGATTTTTTGTCTAATCATTAATGTCTGATGTATGTTAGATTCAGTTAGATCCATTCAAAACTGAAAGATGTGGAGAAATAGATTCATAATTCTAACGTTTTATTTCTCTATCTTCCTCTCCCTTCTTCTCACCTCTATCACACAACATGCAATCGCCGGAGCCGGATAACTTCTCTCCCTCTCTCTCTATTCTTACAGCCTCCGAAAGACCGCCACGGGAAGATCACAGCGAGCAACACTCACATCTATATTTCACGTTTCTCATAATTTTTATCCTAATGATTTTGTTGAGTTTGATTCTTAACATTACCATTTAATGTTTGCCAATCATCAACAGGTATTCATCGAATTTAAGTTACTATCAGTATTATCATCATCAAATAGTATTTCACGTTTATTGCTCAAATTAAGTGAACAAATATCATTAATGGTAAGCATCAAATATATTTCACAACAACAGTCCATCAAATTGGAACCGTCGTAGCATAAATATAGTTCTTGAAAATCATGTAATACAACATAGAACGATATATCGCTGTTTATTGTCGATCAAAATATTAATTTATTATAATCGCAACTTTTATTTACACTATTATTATATATAGAAATTCCGACTCATAAAATTTCACAATGTTACTATAAAATCATTTGTTTTTTTAATTAGTATACATCAAATGGAGTGTATCTTTGTAAAATTTTATATTTATTTGCTAATAAAAACGTTAAAAAATTAAGTACTTCTGAACGAGAATGAAATCTTCATCGAGTCTATAAATTCTACAAGGAAAAGGAAAAGCTCAAAGTCGTCAATACACGACAGAAGTCAACCTAGGCTGCTCAATTATTTTGGCCAATTCCACAGCCACGTGGTGTACTCGAACTCGAAGTCGTCGTTAAAAGTCAACCAAATCCCTAAGAATATATTGTACATTCATTTAAGGCGTCAACTAGTCAATCGCGCATAGTTTGACAAGTATGAGTTGGCGATGATTTCGACTTTTCTTAATAATGTTAATCTAATATCAATGATACTTTAATATCTATCCAAGTCAATTGTCACTTAAAATGGTGCTAATCACCACTTGTACCAAATAAGACTAGATTTAATAAATGTATAAATAGTTTATTGCTCAAATTAAGTGAACAAATATCATTAACCGTAGCTATTCATTTGAGTATAGGTAAGCATCAAATATATTTCACAACAACAGTCCATCAAATTGAAACCGTCGTAGCATAAATATAGTTCTTGAAAATCACGTAATACAACATAGAACGATATATCACTGTTTATTGTCGATCACAATATTGATTTATTATAATCGAAACTTTTATTTACACTATTATTATATATAGAAATTCCAACTCATAAAGTTTCACAATGTTACTATAAAATCATTTTT